GCCTACACCAGCTAAATAAAATTAAATTTTGTTCTGTTAACAAAATATAAATCTCGAAAACCTTTTGGTATTTTACTTTATAGTTTACCGGTAGCAAAACCTCTCTGAAAATAATTAGTTACAAAAACCTAGGAACCAGAAGCTTATTGTTTAATAGGAAGGAGATTTTGCAATCAGTCACTCAAAATTACTAAATTCAAAACCACAAATCAGTATCTATGGTTATGCTGTTATTTTTTATACCAGTATGTACAAAAATTGCCAAATTGAAAATAGACAAATGCTTTTTATAGCACAAAAAAGGTGTTATACTGCATAGAGCTGTTGCACAGATGTAATCAACGGGGTAGGCGGAGCTTCCTGTCGGCCATCTTGAGTAGCAAGAATGTACACGCAACGAATGGAGGAATGCAAACAAACTGCGATTTTTCATCAAAGAGATATCATACTTGGCTGTAGAATATTATAGAGACTTCTTTACTCAATATCTTCATCTCCTACCTTGCATTAGCCTGGAATGTCAACTGCAGAATTTATTTAAATTTTTTTCTCCATTCCCCCATTCATTCTTGGCCTTCTTGCCACCCAACATGGCGGACAATTTAGCTCAATTTTAGCCACACCCTCCCGTTGATTACTTCCGTGCAACAGCTCTATAGTCTAGCCTTTTAACTCAGTATTTTTTCAAATTTTAGCAATTTGCTGAAGTTTTTATAAATTATAAAAATTGAATTTAGCCAGGCTATAGTCTCGCGTAGCCAGACCACACCCTCCAGGCATGGAGGGTGTGGTCTGGCTACACGAGACTAGCCAGGCTACTGGTATTGTATGATCTTTCCTTCTCTAACTTGAGTTCTCTTCCTTTATTCCATTGCCTGTTTATAATTCTCATAATTTATTTCATATTATACATATTTCACATAGACATTAGACATAACATACTATCCTGATCATAATCATAATCACACTATACAAAATGATTTATAATTGGTGAGAGCAATATTTTGATAGATTTAGTGAAAATTAATTGGCATATTTTATATTGAACTACATTTGAGCATGCCCAAAGTGAAAGATTTATATTCATGATAACTGCCAATTGCCAATATTAATTCCTCTCCAATACATTGTCTTGTATTTGTAATTAAGATTGTGATTTTGATTGTGCCCACCCACTTGTTCTATGTACCATATAACGCTTTAATTTGGCGGAGTTTTATTTTGGCGATTGGCGGTTTGCAAGCAGAATCGCCAATATTGAAACTGCCAATCATTAATGTGCATGCTCAGTAATGCACGTGTACACAAAAATTGCCAAATTAAAAACCGCCAATTACAATTTTACAGCAAAATCACCAAAATAAAGCACCGCCAAAATAAAGTGTTATACGGTAAATGCTTTTATGCTTACATTAGGGTTTCCCACAGAGTTTTGACACAGTGCTTATGCAGACTCTTATCAGTGGATTTTAAGTTGCTACAAGATTTGACAAAATAATAAATACCAGGGCATTTTTTCAAAAATTTCTAGGAGAGAATTTTCAATTTTTATAATTTTTTTATTCATATGAGATATACATGTACAAGTTTATGTGCTGTGTGGAAATTTTAGATGATTCCAATAAAATTTGAATTTTTGAAATAAATTTTAAAATTATTCAAAAATCTTGCCAAGACCCTGTACTAGGTCTTTGGCCAAATTTTTTCCAAAATGACTAGAACTGCATGGAGAGAAATCTGAACATGTACATTTTTATTTTGTTTAGTAAGTTTGAACTGATTTCTGACCAAAGTTTTATTTTTTGAAAAATTTATAGTTACTCAAAAATTGGGCAAAAGTCCTTGTACTATAGAATTGGTCTTCAGATAATTTCACGAAAAATAACAACGAGAGAACTTTTCATTTTTATGCATGTGTGTAGCAAGTTTGAGCTCAAAATTTCATTTTTAAAGTTGCTATACTGTAGACTATGTAATACCATAAATCTGGCTTATTTTGTGTTAAGGTAATTGAGTTAACACATATGAAATAAGTGCATGTACATTTAACACATATACACTCATACATGTACATAGAAAGTACTTGCACTAGTGCTCATGTACATGTATATAAGTATTAAGTAGTAGTTAATACATGGGGCTGCATGTGCTATCTGATTTATTAGCACAAGCTTGAGGTCAAGTGCAGTATTTTTAGTAACGAGACCTGATTTACTTTATTATCTATGACTTGACTTGATGATCAATCAAGCGCTCCCTCTGCTTATAGCTATTGCTTCATCAGAGTGGAGCTAGTGTGATCGTGATTCATTTTTGATTCATGATCAAAATTTTTTTGGAACTTCTGACCTACCGGTATATGTTCACTATTGAACCTGAAAAGTCAAAGTTCAACTCCCTGCTCAGTTTGGAGCTGTATGACTCATACTGCTCCAAATTGATGTCAGAGTGGCGATAAATCATATGTTGCACCGGGCCTCTTTTCTCCCATGCATTTCTATGGAAGAAACAATGTGATATTGCTACTCTCCTCTTGCTCTTTATGCTCTATCTGTTTATCACCATTGATATTCCTTTGATCTCTAAGTCAGACATATACAATAATAATATTTATTTCATTTGAAGCCTCATAATTTGTCCTAGTTGATACATTGGGGATGGGTTATGGCCTGAGGTGGTATAACTGTTAGCCACTAAGTAGGGCTAGGCAAATTATGCTAGCATAATTTGGAGCATAATAGGGCAAGTTATTATGCTGGCATTATTGGAGCATTATGGGTCAAAATTTCTAGCCCTACATTGTATACCCCTGACCACATGATTTCAATTTAATATGGCAGGTGGTACAATGTACTAGTACAACAACCTGACTGCTTAGTACCCACCTATACAAGTGTGGTGAGTCCAATGACTTAGATTATTCTATTTTCCAGTGACTCAAAATCACTGGAAACATTTTCAGATTCTGGCATTATTACAATTTTAACAGATGCATGTACATGTAACTTGATAGTCGATATTTGAGCAAAGCTTAAAATATTAGCATAATAATGAGCATAATTGGATTCATTTCAAAGCATAATGACAGAATTTGGAGTAGTGCCCAAAAGCATAATAGGCAAAAATTGTACAAAGCCCTACCACTAAGTTTATACACACAATCTGTATAACAAGGCTGCAAAAGTTGTGGCAGCCATTTTTTGGAGGGGTGAATCCTACTTAGTAACGCTACCGCATTACTAATAGAGACATACTAAATTTAGAATGGCTAATACTTTTGCCTTTGAATATGTTATATTGGGATAAATAGGCAGCATAAATATGAAAATTGCCAACATCATTCTGTTCTTTAGAACCATTGAATATAACCCAATTTACAGTACTTTTCAGCTCATTAAGCATGTTATGTGGGAAACCCTGATCAAGAATTACTTGGAGAGAATTTTCGGTTTTTATAATTTTGTCTGATTTATGTACATGTTCTTGTGTTGCATAGAAAGTTGAGCTGATTCTGATAAAAATTATGAATTTTTGAAGTCACTCAATATTTGCAATGGACAAATTACAATTTTTGGCCAAATTTTATAAAGTGGCTAACAGAGAATTTGGAACTTTTTATAACTTTTTGATACATATACATGTTAGTTTTGCATAGAAAGTTTGAGCTGATGTAATCAAAATTGTATTTTGTTATGAAATTTTGAAGTTGCTTCAAAAGCCATGCATACATCTACACGTACAATTGCAGTGCTTGTTAGCTCATGGAGCATGCTATTTGAGAATTTGAGTATAATTTATGCATATACATGTACAAAGATCAGATGGTTCATTGGCTTCAGCGGAGCAACTTTTTGTAGCAACGCTTTGTAGCCTGGCAAACACTAAAATATAATTATGAAAGTGACATGTATCAGTCGTAATAAATTGTACTTGAATTTTTCACAATTATTTTAAGTGAGGTGGGCATAATTGTTATTTAATGATTCTGGTTATGCAATCGCCAATGTAATGCCTATTAATATCATGTACTTAATTTTGGTACATTATGTGTAGTTCTATGTGATGCAGTCATAAGTGCTGTATAGGCAAATGGTAATGTGCATTAAGTTTAACTTGTAGATTAGTAACTATATTGATTATATACAGGTACTTTTGTTGAGATGCATACCATAAAATGATGCTAGCCAGGGCTTTTAAGGCTAGACTTGATCACTTGTTGGACACTTTCTGACTTTAAGCAGGGCCGGCCCTGTTAAAGAAGCCAGTATTGTAATAAGAATCTTTTTAAAACTTGTGTCCTTCCATTGTACCTAAGTAAGCACTGTGTATAATTGGTACTGGTAATTGCATATTTTCTGAACAAACTTTTATTTTAAAATTTTGTGTAGCATGCAACCATAAGGATACTGTCAGCAAAACATGACAATGTTATTTGTTTTGTATCATTGCAAGCATGCTTGTTATTATTAGTAGACATGAAAGTACCAGTAATTTCAATGCTTATACTTATACAATACATGTACATGAGTAGAATAGCAGTTCCCATATATGGTGAAAGCATTTGTAAACATAATATATCACAAACAAGCATAATAGAACTAGAATTTATAGTGTCATCTTATCTGGGATAGAGCAGGTTATACCTAGTTACAGTACTGGTTTGATTGTTGCTTACTGATTATTCTTATTCTGTGATTGAGTAAAGCGTATGTTTATTACATTTAGCATTATAGTCTTTATGTGTCATCTATATCATCTTTGTCATATCACATATAGTCATATGTCATCTTTTTCAATATCTTATTTTAATTTAGTTGAAAACATGTTTATTGAAGGTTGGCATAGTCATTAAACTTTAAGTGTATTTATTGGCCTGATTTCAGGCCACGCAAGATATATTGGTTATGATTATCATAACCAACTTGTCGTGTGTGCCGCTTGGAATGTAAATATACCTTATAAGGAAAGTATAAGGGGTGGTTATAGTTATAGCTAGAGCAATGGAAAGGGAGGCAATGGAGAGTAAGGATATTATTGTTCAATAAGACTTAGCTATACTCTTCTTTTAGGTGTCCTTGATCTTTACAGGCAGGAACTAGATATGAGAGACCTTGCTGGGAGCCACCTTGAAGTGGAAATTTCTGATGTGCAGGATTTTATTAAGATTCTTGATGATAACTGGTTTGAGTTTGGGACACATATGAATGTGGACATGCATAAATTGAAAGAAATCAAGAGCAGCCCAGATATTATGACAGACAAAATTATTTTGCTCCTTGACCATTTAGTGAATCAAGGAGTTACTTATTTGGAATTCATTTACGGTCTTTATCAATCAAAGGCTGGTGTTTTAGTTGTGCGTAAGGTACTTGACATAGTGCAGAAAAGGAATAGAAAAGGTAATTGTGTTAAAAGTTACTTTCAAAATTTAATATTTAGTTGATGTAGGTCATGAGAAGAATGATCACGACAAAGTAATCATAAAAGTAATTTTGGTAGCATATTAAGTCTCATTTTAAAAATTAGAATGATGATCTGATTCATCAAACTGGGCATAAAGTTACATTTGCAGATGATGATGATCAAAGTAAAATAGCCGTAACTTGTCTACATGAAGTTATAAGTAACTATTTAGGTGATGTTCGATCACAAACAACTGAAACCAGTGGCACTGCCAGCGTTGAAACAATTACCTTTATTTGTGGTTGTGGGGAATGCACAATTGATCAATTCCTTACAGGCACAATAGGCTGTAAAAGTCCTGGAAAAAGCAATAGATTTCCTCTGCTTGATACCTCAAAGCTTGAACGATATGCACAGATGGAATTGATTGACCAGCTTAATACTGAAGCTGATAACATAGACCTGGAATTTAGTTCTTTAGTTACAGATATCTCGGATTCTTTCTTAACAAGAAATGTTAGCCTTGAAAGCATAAAAGTGTTTCTTTGTTCTTTGGAAAGTGTCAAAGCTCGTTCAACAATTGATGCTAAGTCAACAAGTTCAATTCCATTTGCTGAAAAAATAAAAGATGCTGAATCTATTTCTGACCTGTTTATCACCATGACCTCCGCTTGGTCATGGTTCAATATTCAGCTGTTTGATATTTTAATGAAAAAATTTGGAAATGCAGACGAAAAGTTGATGATCAAAGAATATGAGCTAAAATTAGCAAAGTTTTTAACCAGGCACACCTACGAAATGCCTTCTTCAATTCATAATCCTGACAAAATAAAAGGTTTTGCACAATTTTCCATTAAGCTATCTGATAAAATGAGAAAAGAAAAAGCTACTGAGATTCCAAAAATCCAAAGCAGATTTGCACGGCTTCTTGAAGTTAAATCTTATGCTGTGATTTTAACAACTATCAAGGAAGGATGTGTCGAGCTTTGTTTTCTAGTTCCAGAAGAAGTATCACAACTTTTTCCTCTCCCATTTGAAGCTATTAGTGAAATACGCAATATGGAATGGATGATCCTTAGTGTGAAATGTGGCAATCATGAAGAATTTATCAGAGAGGAGGAGGAGGAGGTAACTGTTATGATATTTGTAATAACAATTATCATTTTGTCATAGGTGGTTACCTCGAATATTGCTGAAGCACCAACAAATGGCAAGTTAACTTTAGATAAACATAATAACTAAGTGACATTGTGAATAAATAGAAACTGATGACAAACAGTCTGTGCTGAGTGGCTCATCAGGTGTCACTGGCTCAGTATCAACTGGAATAACTTCAAAAACTAGATCTACTGACTTGGGTTCCATTCCTTGTTCTGATCCTGGATATTGTAGTTCTGTTGATCCTAAATCTACTACTACAAATGAGAGACGTAAGTATTATGTTTTGAGTTGTTAAAAAAATTAATTAAAAAATAGAGAGAATGCCAGTAGTTATGGAAAATGAAGCATGGCTCCAGAAAATACAACGCCACAGAGGTATGTAATTTTTTTTGTATTATTCTAATTTTTTAAAGGAATTCATGAGGTGTGCCACTTGTGCATGCTATCAAATCCCACCAGTGAAGATTTATTGGATGACATGTGTTTCAATACTGATTTACATGATGGAGTCTATCCAATAGTCACTGTCACTTGGGATGAAGACTATCACATGATGCATCAAATTCGACCAATGCCTCAGCTTAGTCTTAATGGAGGATTTGCATTATGTAATGGAGAGTGGTGCAAGGGAGAAAAGTGCACTTTTGCTCACAGTGAACTTGAAAAAATGGCTTGGAATCACGAATTGAATCGGACAAAACGAAGTATGTCCATTGTTAATAATTTATGTTCTAAATTATGTACATGTAGCAGGCAACCTACCTCCAACAAGCCGACAAGTAATTATTTAGGCATATGCAGTCATATCAAAATAATTTTTTTATATTTAGATACGAGTATTGTTTGATGTCAGTAATCCTACTCCAGTTATACCACAACAGTCACCACAAACCCCTTTGATTTATGATCCTCGACAAGTCATCAGATTTTCTGTTAACAGGCGAGACAGTTATCATACCTACAATGCATGGAAGACAAAGTTTAAGGATAGGTTACACCGGACTACTTTAAAAGATGAAACTCTTGAAGCTGATCTCACTGCAGATAACTATCAAGATAAATTCTACAATCTCCTTTGCTTTGAAGAAATGGAACACATCAATTTGCTCACAAAAAGGTAGACATACAGGTTCATTATGATATAAATTTTATAATTTTATTTGCAGATGTGATGGTCGTTATGAATTCATTTTTGAAGGGCGTATTTTGTTACCAAAATTTTCGTATGAAAATCTTCATAATGTGGGCTACTTAAATGGCATTTCAAGTGATCGAATTGGTTATGCAACACAGTCTAGTGAATGCTTAGTTTTTGTTGATCGTCAAAATGAGAGAGATATTTGCCGGGCAAATATATTGAGCTTCAATTACAGCACGACAAGCAAGAAATTATACATTTCTTTTTCTGACAATGACATAAAGGAGTTAAAGAAAATGCTCGATAGTAGTAAAAGTGGAGTTTTTAATGTAGAATTTGAAGTCAAACATGGTTTTTTCAATTCATTGCATAAAGCAGTTGTGAATCTTTCTGATCACGTCATTCAAAAGCTTTTGCCTAGAAAAGAAGCATTTCAACCGATTGATATGTCTCATTTAAGAGGTGAATGCAAGCACAAATGGTTAGAAGTCAATGAAGAATGCCAATTAGTTGCACTTGATTCCATTGTATCAGCATCTTCAAATGTTCCAATTCTTGTGTCTGGCCCTTTTGGTTGTGGTAAAACCAGAGTATTAGCACGATCGGCTTTTGAGTTTATTGATAAAGGGCTAACATCAAATAAAACAACTCGTATTTTGATATGTGCCCATCACCCAGCCTCAACACAAATTTATATTACGAAGTATTTGCATCAGGTTTGGAGTAATGATGAGTTGTGGAGAAAATATGTCAAAATAGTTAGAGTAACAAGAGGCTTATTTGACAAGCATTCACCATTTAATGAACATTTTCGTAATCTTTCGACTTTTCGCAAAGAAGTTCAGCAGGGAATGTATTTGAATGAAAGGCTTTTAGTAGTAGTTACGACATACATGACATCACTTCAGTTGCTTAATGCCTTCAAAAATACAAAATTTTTTACACATGTATTGCTTGATGAAGCAGCTCAAGTCAGAGAACCAGAAGCTGTTGCTCCACTTTGTTTAGCAACCAATGATGCTAAAATTGTCATAGCTGGTGATCGGAAGCAGGTAAGAACTACAATCATCAGTGCATAGATTCATATTCAACTTACATTAATAGGTTGGACCAGCTCTTGAAGTTTTGGGAAATCAAGCTCATGAGAATGGATTAGCTGTCTCACTCCTTGAGCGGTTAGAGCAGCACTATAGTAAGAATGGTGATTCTGCAAGTTCTTATCTTAATAAACTCACTGACAACTATCGTTCCAACAAGTCAATAGTTCTCTTTTTGTCAAGTATTTTTTATGATGAGCCAATTACCACAAAGCTTCCAATAAAGCTTCATCACAAAACATCTTTTCCATTTGTTTTCTATTGCAGTGATGTCGACAGCATAATTAGAGCTCCTCAGGAGGCCACGTTTGAAACTGAAGCTATTGCAGTTTTGGGCCAAGTTAATTATTACAAGAAAAATGATTGGGATTTTTCTGAGTTGAGTATTATTGCACCCACAAGAAGCCAGGTATTTTATGCTGTAAATTACATGTTAAGTTACCATTACTGCATAGGTTAATGTTATTCGAGAAAAACTCAAAGGACCATTTGCAAAAATCAAAGTTTTGCCAACATATTTGATACAAGGTACGTGTGGCTTTTTGGTTCTTAAACTATATAATTATATTATGTTTAGGACATGAGTGCAAAGCAGTTTTTTTGAGTACAAGTGAGCCTCTTGAAAGTAATGGGAAAAGCAAAGATCCTTTAAAAAGTCTTTGCAATCCTTTTGTTTTTAACACTGCAATCAGCCGAGCACAATCACTTGTAGTAGCAGTTGGTAATCCATATATGCTTTTGAAAATAGAGGCTGGCACTGGAAACTCTCGTCGGCATTGCTGGAGAGAATATTTAAAACAGTGCTTTGAAAAGAATACTATTTATTTTCAAAAGTCTTGCCTAAAGCAAAGAGGCAAAGTTTTAGATGATCTTAGAATGACTTTTATTACAGCTATGAAACAGTCTAAAAATGCCAATGGTCAAAGAACTCATTCATCCATGTTTTCATCTTCTAAAAGGACAATGGTTGCATCTCCAGTTCAAGCCACCCAATCTTTGGTTTCATGTTTAAAACGACAACCGTCACTACAGAGACAAAACAGTCCTTCCACAATGTCATATGCAAGTGCCGTCAAATGTGGTCTCAAAGGTATAATTTTATTCATAGTACAATTTTATATAATTTTAATACAGAAACACCTCCTAAGAGAAATGAAAAGTTTAGAAAGTATGAAGATGAAGAAATGATCAATGTGAGTGATGAAGAAAGTGATTCTCATCAGTTTGATGAAGACTTACTATCAAGGATGTAAACAATACTGTAACATCAATAATAAATCTATTTTTATGCAATTTCAATTTGTTAATAATTTGTAGCATTCATTGTTGAATAAGCAGAATGCTATCTAGCTAATAAAAATGTTTATTTTGAGATCTACACTGTTATCTATGAAGTTATCTATGCGATGCTAATAGATCTACTTCTGGAGCCACGCCCTAACAATGACTCGACAGATTTAGGCTAATCAAAGGAGTAGATCTCCGAAATCCAAGGCTGAATCATGGTCTTGCTCTATCTATAGCTCTTGGTTGACATTCTTTTTTATTTTGTAAGTTATGTTTTTAAAAGTACATAAAACCAAAAGGCATGATCTAGCTTCAATAATTATGGAGATGCTCTCTTTCTTTCCCTCGGGGCAGCCTGCTTAATTCTTATCCATTTTTTATGAATCATAATAATATTCATAATTATTGTGATAATAATCTAGCACTCGCCGGTATAGCCATAGAGATATAGCCTCTATAGATTAGTCTATATAGATCTACTGTCAGTTACTGTAAAAGGGTCTATGGTTACTGTGACCTGTTTTAATTTAACATTATTTTACTTTTATTGTTACAGTTTAACAAGGAATGGCTGTGTACCAAAGGATTCAAGATACATATGAACCTGCTCTCGTCTGTATCAGTTGTTTTTATCCGCTTGACACTGCTCTTTACATTATTGGTTGCAGGAGACCAGATATTCATCAACCGCCGTATTGTTGCTGGGCTATTATACAAGGAGGAGTTCTAATATTATTACTGGAAAGTGTTCATTACAGTAGTCCAATTCACTATTTTCCTGAAAGGCATGATCTTATGCATGGTCATAGTGCAATTGATTTCCAATTTATGTTAAATAAAGAAAGGACCTTACACCTTCCTGTAAGTCAAGATAATGGTATGGTAAACTTAATTGTAATTAAATATACCATAATGTGCAAAAATGGGCAGGTGTTTAGGCCTCGTTTACACAATGACGCTAGCCTAATCTGTATTGTTTTTGCTATTACTGTTTTCAGGTGTTACACTAATGCAGCAGCTACGTTTTCATCAGATTTTATCATTTTAAAAATAGAATTATCCGTTTTGGTATTTGTTTTTCTTTTGTTCGGATTTCATATGCGTTTTCTTGTGTTTTAGTGTAAACAAGACCCTTATCTGACTAAAAATATATCCATTTTACTTTAAAATGTAGTCATGTAAACCAGGCCTCAGTTTTGTGACAATAGAGGGAGCCATAAATATTTCAACAATACGTGCCAGGATTGACTCATTAATTAAATTTTTAAAATTAATTGAAAATTCAGTAAACATGACTTAGATTCCATAGTTTGCTCCACCAGCTCTAAATATTGGAAGAGATTAATATTGGCAATGTGTAAGCAATAGAATTTTTCATTTTCCTTTATTCTGAGCATGCTCAATGAGTGAAAATGACACATATGGCTCGTAAATTGCCATTATAAAATTTGCCAATTGCAAAAGTTTCAACTAATTGCCAAATATAACTCTCACCAATATTTCTGGTTGTGGTAGTATTAGTAGCATTTGTAACCACAATTCCCAGTGCACTTTTAGCATACAAGCAGCCAAACCAAACAACCATCTCTTGTCCTTAATATTTGCTACACAATCACCACATTATAACAAGCATTTGAACGTTAATTGTTTGTGGCATGAATACAGTGTACTACATGTATGCTATTATCAGCACTTTTTATTATGTATTGGCTATGCGGCTATGTTCTGTTGTACCTATATAATGTGCATAAATCTATAATTTCACCAAACCACAAAGGGGGTTTTGGGGGGAGATTTTTAGGGCATAGTTCAATAATTGTTGCTGTCAAGTGAAACCATAACGCTATTAATAATTTATGTCATGACTCATAACTACTTGAGTCATAAAATATGCATTGTAAATGATTATGTTTTCAGTATAATAAACTCTAGCCCGTATATAGTTTAGTGAGTTAGAATGGAAGCTAAGCAGATTCATCTATTTCTAGAAAGAACCAGATACCAAAAGTTTACATAGTTCATACAGGGAATTTCAACCTTCATATGATGACATGAAGCTACCAATCACAACAGACCACTATAAATCAAAGTTCACTGCCTTGCTCTATTATGAAGAGCAGGAACGCATTGGACTATTAAAGAAGAAGTGAGTTTAAGCATAATCATTGTATTGAGTAGTATTGTGTCTTATTTTTTAGGTGTAATGGTTGTTTTGTCTTACAAAAATGTAAACCACCTTTCTTAAAAGGTGATGAAAGGGGCTATTCTCCTAATTTCTATTGTCTACAAGGAATGTCATCAGCACAGATCATGTATGCAACTCAAGCCAGTGATCACCGTGTTACTATTAGCATTGGTCAGCACAACTATGTAGCAACTATTCTGAGTTGTAATTATTCACTTATTGATGATAAGCTATACATTTGTTCCAATTGCAGCATTGTAGTTCATTCCTTTTTAAGAGTGAATGTATCATTTGAAGTTGATCACCATTACTTTCATAGTCTCATGGATGGAGTTAAGAGGATTAGCTCAAAAGTATTACGTCGTCTTATACCCACACCAGAAGATTTTAAAAGCCCTCCTAGAAGTATTAGCATTGACATTAGGAGACAACCATATGGTGGGATTGATCTTGATCTTGAGCAGATTCCAGCATTAGAAGCAATACTCAGTAACCAGTGTTCAGCTCCTGTACTTGTATCTGGTGCTTTTGGTTGTGGTAAGACTCGTCTTCTTGCTGTGGCTACAGAATGTTTCTTCAGAGAGCATCGTGAGGCTGGTCACCATTCACCTTGTCGTATTTTAATTTGTTGTCATCATCAACATTCTGCTGATTTTTTTATGGAAAATTATTTTAACAAAATGCTTTCACACAGCAAATACCCATGGCCTGTAAAAGTTTTACGTGCTACAAGCTCACGGCATCACGTTGATTATTCTAATTGTGTTCAAGCAATTGATTTTGATATATCACTATACAGACGTGAAACCGCCTTTCTATTGGTCACAACATTTGGAGGAGCACTAACGATATCCAGGAAAAAGGTTGAGCCTGATTTCTTTACTCATATTCTAATTGATGAGGGAGCTCAGACTCGTGAACCTGAAGCTCTTAGTCCATTTCTAATGGCAAATAAGAATACTCGTATTGTTATTGCTGGAGATCATCAACAGGTATGTTGTATTGATTGAAATATGCACGTACATATGTACTGTTATTGTAATTTTTGTTGTGATTTGATTAATTTGGTTGATTAGCAGTTGAGGATAACAATAATTTGCAGCAGAATTTTGACAGCATGTCCTATAATACATGCAAAAATGTGATGCTTTGCCTGGTTACAATCAAAATTAACAAAGGAAGAGAGTGTTATTATCACTAAATCACTATATTTACATATTTACCTGCATGCAGAATATTTTTAATATCTGAATGGTATGCATTCTAACCTAATACATGTATTTTGTATTTTTCACTAAACTAGTCATTTCATTCATTTGTGAATTTCTAAGCTTTATTGGCATAATTATTATTGTGCTATTTAACATTTTTTGAATGACTTGATGCAATTTGCCAAGGCTTGACTGCTAAAAACATTTTAACAGGAATTTTTTTGATAGCACATACTTGCCTATTATGTCATTGTAGGTTGGACCTCAACTTCTTGTTCTTGGTAAAGCTCCTCAGCAGTTTGGTTTATGTGTGTCACTGTTGCAACGATTACTAGAGAAGTATAAATCTATTGGAGACATTAGCAAGAGGAACACTCCATCATGGAATATTAATTATCGCTCACAAGCTGACCTTTTGGAGTTACCTTCTAAGTTATTTTATAACTCAGAGCTGAGAGCTTGTGGCAGAGTACCATACCACCTCAAGGCTCCTTATCCTTATGTTTTTATATGTTCCAGTTTTACTAATGATATTCCAGTTGATGCTCAGTGTGCTGTAGAGGCTGATAGACTCCTTCAAGCAGTGCAGCTACACAGTGACAAGTTCAAAAGCTGGGAACTAAAAGATACTTGCATTATGACTCCAAGTTTGAAACAGGTATACTTAAGTATGATTTGTTGATTTGATTACCTTAAGGAGACAATTATTAGCGTGTACTATTTTTAGCGATTTTCATGGTACTGACATTTGGCTGGTACTTAATTTAGCGTTTTTTTATCATTTGGTATTAATAACTACTAAAGAATGTAAAACATTTGGGGCGAGCCTAAGCAAGCTATAGATCATGTGCTGTGATCTTTATGTATGAGCAAGCAAAGCGATTGCACAAGTCTAAATACAGTACATCTTGTTGCATTAATCTTGCTTAAATTGCTTCAAGCTTCATCACTGACTCTGCTCCAAAAATGTAAAGCTGAACAAGGAAGATTGTCATCTGCTTTGTCTAAGTCTTTGGACAGCAGTTCAGTCTTATTTTACTGACTGTTTGCTGCAAATAAGCTCAGAGTTGCTGACAGCTGCCATTTTATTCATTGTGACCACGCCCACTTTTAATGAAGTTATTAAAGTTAGCAAACTTAAGTTAGCGATTTTTAAATTAAATACCCACAAACAATTGTCTCCTTAAGGTATACTTTTAAATGCAATGTAATTACTGTAACAAAAATAATGCTATGTATGTGTACTTTGTAATTGATAGGCAAACCTTATTAAAAGACTGATAAAAACAAAATTCAGGAGTTTGATTGGTGTCAATGTCATCACCAGTTATCAAATGCAAGGTAATTAATACAGTTTGTGTTTCATTAAACATTTCTCTCCTTAATAGGACAGGAGTATCGTATGCTTTTCATGAGTACTGTTGAAAGTTTAGAGCCCAATGGTCGACCATTTGATCCATTAAAGAGTTTTTGTAATCCAGCACTATTTAATACAGCAATCACACGCTCTAAAAGTCTTGTAGTAGCTGTAGGTAATCCTCTTGTACTGCTATTGTCTGAAGCTACTATGGATAATCTTAAATGGTGCTGGAGAGAGTTCATTTCAAGATGCCTTCAGAATGAAACATTCAAAAGTACTCCTGACTGTGTCCAGTTTGAACAAGTAAAAGTACAGTTCTTTGACATGCTGAAGTGTGATAATCCAGCTGGTAAGAATTTTTGTTTTATTTTCTGATGTTATTTTTGTGTAGACATGATAAAAATTTTCCAGAAGAACATTTATTCCCAGAATTGTTGCACAAAGTCTGCACATGTGTCCCCTTCCCTGATATCTACTCCACAAATAATGCACTCAACTCGAACATCCAGGCAACAGTCGTCATCTACTCCATCTTTTGTACCACAGTCATGTCATCTATCACAGGTTGCGAAGCAGCCATCTCCTCAAGCCAGTCAAGAGTCATCTTTTCAAAATGAAGCAGTGCAATCATGGACACAAGTACTACCTTCTCCTCAAGCAAGTAAAAAGCAACTTACTTTTTCACCACAAGAAGCAAAAATGCAGCAATCTTCTTCTAAACAACAGCTTCTACAGCATCCAGTTAAGCAGCAGCAGTACCCAGTAGTTGAACAAGAGACACATTCTAAAATAGAACATCAACAAGTTTATACAGCCAAGCAGGAGAAATCATCTAAACGAAAAAGGTCGTCACGAAGAAAGAAAAAAGGACATGTAACTGATTCTCTACTTCTATCAAAACAAGCTGGTACAAAAAATCTGTCTTCTCAAAAATCATTATCTACAGTTGAGCAGCAAAAAGGAAGTAATACAGCTGTACAGTCTAAGGTAGGGCCACTAGTCCTTCAGCAGTTACCAACTGCCTCACCTCAACAGCAAAAACAATCTCCATGGAAACCACTTGAACCTGTTGTTCCCATTTCATTAGAATCTACAACAACAGCTTCAAAATCATCACAAGTTGTCAGAAGTAGTCATAATCATCTCTCTTCACAATATTCAGAACCTTTACAAAATCCTAGAAATATTACAATGAGTTTCTTTATTAGTCCTGAATTAGAGGCAAGTTTATATACAGTCCCCATGAAGAATCAAATGTATCATTCTAAGACTCCCATTACTGACGGTAAAGATAATGTTCATTTTTTTATAATTATTATATATTTTGTTTTCGTGTTTTAGTGCATACAATTGAGAAGTCTATTTTAATGCACTCCTTCAAAAAGCATACCCACCACCCTATTAATAAAGATCTACTAGCTGCTACTTTAACTCGTAGCAACTATAAGGAGAAGTTTCACCAGTTATTGTGTCGGGAAGAAGATGAACATGAGAGGATTCTTAGAGACAAGTAGGCATTTCATTAAACTAGAATACATACATGTGTAATATTTAATTTTTAATTTTATAATTAAATTTTAGATGCAATGGTTTTTATGATCTAAAGTTGTCAAGTATTAAATTGTGTATGAAGAGGCACATTGAGAAGTATCAAGAAAAGTATGAATTATTTTATACTATATGGAACGCACAACTTGATGCTGATACAATAGCTTATGCTATGCAGGCAAGTGAAGGTATAGTTGTTCTCCATTTGTCTACTGGAGATATGCAAGCAGATATTCTTGAGACAAAAAACAGAAATAACCTTTATTTTCTACTGGGGCTTGCAACAAATCCTGGAGTTAAACAAGAATCAAATGTCAGCGTGACCTTCATTTTAAAATACTCTTATTTTGATCGTCTTCATCGAGCATTAGATAGTTTGCCTCTAGCTGTACTTAATCGTTTAATGCCTAGTAACCCTTGTCATTTTAGTAATGTGGTGTTGAATGATGAAGACATTCCTCCTCCAGTGAAGTGTGTTCATGAGATAGGTGTAGTCAAATTAGAATATTCGCAGAGGGAGGCTCTTAAGTCAATAATGAGTTGTGAAGCTAACAAAGCACCTGTTTTAATTGTAGGTTCATTTGGAACTGGTAAAACTCAATTGCTTGCTCGTGCTGCATATCAAATATTACGACAAGACCGAAAGAACAGGATTCTTATTTGTGCTCATCATCAGCACTCTGCAGACACCTTTATGGCTAATTACTTTTCAAAGATGATTGATTCTGGTTGGTACTGTGGTAAAGTTGTTCGTCTGATGGCAAATAGAGATTATTGTGCTCCTTCAAATTGTGTGAAGTATTATGCTACCATTAAGGATCGGCATTTCAAAAAGCTGAATGAAATTAGCATAATTGTCACGACATTTTCTACATCACTTCATATGCTTGGAGTTGTCCCTAAAGGTTTTTTCACCCACATTTTGTTAGATGAAGGTGCTCAAACTCGAGAACCAGAATCTATTGCTCCTCTTTGTTTAGCTGATGATAATACACAAATTGTAATTGCAGGAGATCACAAACAAGTAAGTGATCTCACCAACTATATCTACTGTGTAGAGCTTATGTTTTTTGAATAATAAATCTTACTAATTTTGCGGATGGGTATAATTTGCAAAATTAAACTCCATTGAAAATTTTCCTGCCACACATTGTTCAATCAATAATTGAGGTCATTTCATGTAATTTTTATCCGCAAATGCCTAGCAGGAAATTTTGAAAAAATTTTGTATGCACGAGCCATAAGTGCTAGTATATGTTATCTATTAAGTTATCAATGAACTTATTCATGGGCTCCTGACTTATTGAATAGGTTGGTCCCTCTTTGTTAGTGCTTGGTGAACTAGCTATTAAAAATGGTCTGAGTCTGTCGTTGCTGGAAAGACTGCATACTCTTTATAATGATGATAGGCTAATTGATGCTTCATCAGTGCATTCTGCTACTCTTCTCACTAATTTTAGATGTCATCATGCTCTACTGTCTCTTCCATCTTACTTATTTTATGATTCTACATTAATTACCGCTGCTGAAGCTGTGACTCATCTTCATCCTGAAGCTAAATACCCTCTTCATTTTATATGCTCTGATCTTAGTGAAGCAAAAGAAATATCTACTAATGATAATGAGATTGAAGCCACAATATTGCTACAAGAAATAAGTAATTATGTTGAGAGCTGGCCAGATCAATGGGGTGAAATGGATCTCTCTAAAGTTTGTGTTATGACAGTAACAGCTCACCAAGTATGTCAAAATTTTATATCTGGTTGATTTAATTGTAAACTTTAGAAAATTAAAGTTATTCAAGTATTGTCTCATCATTATTCACATCTTGAAGATATTGATGTTCGAACTGTTTTTGACATTCAAGGTAATGCTGATTTCATAAAAATCTCCTGAAAATTAATTATTTTCTCTACATGTAGGTTGTGAGTATGAGGCAATTTTTCTTAGTACAGCAGAGCCTACTACAAGAGAAGGCAAATCTAAAAATCCAACCAAGACGCCTTGCAGTCAATATGTATTCAATACTGCATTAACACGTGCTAAATCACTTGTAGTATGTGCTGGTAACCCGTTTCTGTTGATGACAATAGAAGAAAGCATGGGTAATGAATGCTCTTGTTGGAAAGAGTACATTAGAAGGTGTATACTTTCTAAAACCTTTGTAGTACCTACTAAACTTCAAGATGGAGCATGTCAAAGTGTAGTTCATGATCAAATAAAAATGTTGCAAGAGATGGTATTTAAGTTGTCGCCTGTTTTAATGACAAATTTTACAACAGATAGCATATTGAAATCGTTTCAAGAAACATTGAAATCTATACGACATTACAAAAGAAGTGAACTACTGAAACTTTCCTATTCAAATTGTGATATTTTGGACTTTGATGATAGTGTAGTGAGTCAAGGTAAGAAAGAAGGTGAACAAGAAGGTATTTATGATTGTGAATTACAAATGAAAAGCTATCGTTCAGCTATTGCAGTTCCACGTGATCAATCGAAGGAGGCCATAGTTATTAATGGATTGAATAATAGAAGAGGAGCTTTCAATAATGATATAGTACGAGTGGAAGTTACTGTGTTCAATTCTCATTCTGCATCTGGAAATAAAAAAGCAGTAGTTCTAAGGTCAGGTAGGGTAGTAGAAGTTATTAAAGCGCAACATCCAACTAGGTATGTATGCCGTTCTGATCAATATGGCTTTGTTAAATTTTACCCTCTTGATAAAACTGCTCCAATAATACTTAATCTTCCAAAACTATCTTACAAGCTTCTTCGATATCGTCCAAAGGATGACCAGGCCCCTATGATTCATGATTACATTACAGTGTTTAGGGAGGACTCATTATATGATGCTAATGATGAAATCCCTCGTATTAAGGAGCTCATACCATTTGAACTGTCACAGAATTTCTTGTTTGTTGTTGAGGTCCTTCAATGGAAGAAAAAGTACCGAACAGCATTAGGAGCTGTCATTGAAGCTGTTCCACGTACATCAAACATTTTTTTTATTAATCGCTTGCTTAACCTTGTCTATAACATCCAAGAAGAAGATGATGAAGTACATTCACCACTTCAATCTCCAAATGAAACTAATGAGCTTCATCATTATGATCGAGCATTTACCATTGATCCTCCTTTATCTAAAGATTTGGATGACGCAGTCAGTTTGACACCTCTTCCTGAAGATGGTAATTATGAGCTGGCAGTTCTTATAGCTAATGTTGCCAAACATATAAATGAAAACCATCCTTTAGACAAGAAAGCTAAACAGAGGGGGACATCTGTATATGGTGCTAAACAGAGAGGTGCTCAACGAGTGCGTCACATGTTTCCATCCAGTATCACATCTCAATTGAGCCTTGACTATTTGAAAAAACGGCATGTTTTATGTGTACCTGCTACAGTAGTCATAGAAGAAGGAGTGGTAACTAGTGTAGTGTCTGGCGATCCAAAGGAAGCAATGGTCACTTCTCAAGTACGATTCACTTATGAGTCTGCTAAAAAGGTAATGCATAATGAAACGGTTGATGATGAGACAAGAAGGCAAGTTAAAGCATTTGATGATGCCAGTGGACCAAGCTTACTAATGGCTAATACTCTTAATCTACTGTATGAGATAGCTATGTACTTACGCATTAAGAGGTTAGATGATCCTGGCTACTGTTATGACCGACCTGAGGAAGGTGAAGAGGGTAACTGGCAGACTCATCTTCTTATAGAAGAATTAATGATATTTTGTAATGCAGCAATAGCTGAGTATCTTCACGATAGGCTTCCACAGCAAAGTGCCTTATTTTTAGCACAGCTACCTATTTTGAAAGAAGATGAGCTTGAATTTGTTAATCAGAATGAAAAATGCTTACAACATTCTCTGTCTCTTAAATGTTACTTAAATGAATTCAATAATAAAACAGCTCCCTTGATTCTACCTAATACAACACTTCAGGCACTTGTTGACGTATGCTCTAGAAGAGATCACATCCAATTGGTTTCAATTCTTAACAATAATAAGCTTTACCCACAGCTAGCCATGGCTGAGGCTATGTCACGAACAATCAAAAGGAAATCTAGTTACATTGTAGTTGAAAACAACAATGAGCATATTTGTGCTTATCATTCTCATAATGGCCTTGCACTATCAGCATATACTCATTTTACATCACCAATCAGGAGATATGCTGATTTGGTTGTGCAAAGATTAGTAATATCACTCATTGAGGGAAGGCCTATAGCAGAAAATTCTGATGAGAATAACAATGAACTCGTTAAATTGTGCTCTCAACTTAATGTCAAGAGTAAAGCTGCAAAAGATTATGAAAAGGCTGATAATAAAGCATGTATAACTAGAAGCTGTGAAGTCTCACTGGAAAGAGCAGAGGCTTTTGTGATCCAATCTTGTAAAAATATCAATGACTCATTTGAATTATCCTTCTCTTCAAGTCATTATGAGTGTATTCATGGTCAAGACACATCATTTAGTATGTCAGATCTTAATTTTCATCACAAAATTGAAGATGGAACTACTAAATTTGTTGTATGGAAAATAGTGTCAATATCATTGAGTCAAACATTCAGCCTCTTCTCTCATCCTGATGTAATTGATATGCCTCCTGCTACTCTCAAAGCTCCTTATTGCTCCATTGCTGCTAAAATGTATCAATATACACAAGGGCGGGAAGGAGAATCACAGATTCGTCGGTCTAGTGCTGATTTGACAGTCTGTGATAAAGCTATTTCTCTTAGTCCAGAACGCTGGCTAGTAACACACAAGTATCTTAAATGTCAAAACGAAGAAAATTTTGAAAAAATAAGAGGCTTAATTCTCCATGAGCAACAATTAGAAGTCAGTAAAGATAAATGGCAGTCAAAAAGAAGCAAAGAAAGTATTGCAATAACATATGAAGTTAAACGACCTTTTACTGCAGCTAATGATGTAGTTACAGTTTGGCTGGGAAAGTCTCTTACTGAATATCTCCCAACACCAGCTATTCAGTTAATGGAGATAGCACCAACAGTTCGTGTGTGCCTTCAACATAATAATAATCCTCTCTGCTTCTCTGGTATCCACCTACAGAAAGCATCACGTGATACAGCTTATCACTCAATAAAGCAGTATGTAGAGCTTTGGAGTAAAGTGTTAATTGCTGAGTCTGCTAATCAAAGTGTCAAGACAAAAAATCTCATATTCATCAGACATGCTCCTTTAAAATGGAATGAATTCATTCGAGTTAATGATTATATTCATGATCCTTATTATGTGCCAAAGGATGAAGTTTCTCTTATCATACCTCCTAAGAATCAAGACTCATTGGACTTCATAAGTATCAAATCTGGTGACTTCCTTTGTGTTCGATATGAGATTAGTGATAGTCTCAATGCTGTCTATCACTTTGTTGTGGCAGAAGGAAAAAATGAAAAAATAGATAAAAAGGATAATGTAGACATCGTAATAAAGATGCGTGCTGAAGGTGATTATTCATGTAGAATCAGAGAGAATATGTATCAAGAATTGAAAAAAGGAAACCAAACTTGTGACATACAAATAATACCAATACCAGTTTCTTTTCGGTAAGCAATGAAATAATGTAGTGTTTTAATAGAGTAGGCATGCAACCCTACTAAGAGTTTATTACTGTAATTGGAATATGTAATGCTTCTGCCATTCCTATTATTGACCAATCAGATTGTTTGGCTTCAAGTTTAAAAGTAACTTATTACCAAGTTTCTCAGGAAGTTAATAAGTGAAGTGCTGGGAAGTTAATAAGTAAATTGGGTAATTTTCATAGGGAATGGAAAAATTTAGGCATTAAGAATTTTTGTATGCTGCTTATTTATTCCAATATATTAGTAGAGGAAAAGGAAGTACCATAATAGCCCCAAATTTTTATAAATGTCAAAATTTTTTATTTTTTGTTAAAAATTTATGTTACTATTCTGTATACAACCCATGCAAAGCAAACATTTTGGCTTATTTTGTCAATAAAGTCTGTTGAAAAAAATGCTCTGGCAAATTTAATGAAATTTTTGACCAAAAAAATATGGTATAATATTTAAAAT